CTCCTCCTCCTCCTCCAGGGCGGGGCCGGGGAGCACGCCGCCTGCCGCTCGCCGACCCCCCCTCCCCGGAAGCCTCGGGGGGGGGGGCAGGGCCCGCGAGCCCGCGCGCGCTCCTGAGCAGCAGCATGGCCGGCGCCCTCGCCAACGAGGAGCGCACCCGGCCCGTGCCGCGCTCGCGGGCGGCCTGGCCGGGCTGTGCGGAGAGGCGTAGTCCCCGACGTCTTCGGGTCCTAAACAAGATGATGATGATGATGAGGAGGAGGAGGAGGAGGAGGAGGAGGAGGAGGAGGAGGAGGTCTTCGCCATTGTCGGCCTTTTTGTGGGGGCCTGGCCTGAAGTCGGGCCTGTCCCTCCACAGGAGGAATGCCCAAAAAGCAGTAGGAAATAGTCTGGAGGCGATTCTTCTCACAACTTCCTAACATTTTTCGATAACGATTTTGTTCCTCCAACGTCTGCCTGTAGGGGGACACGCCCGATTAAAGCCTAGCCAGGCCTCGGGGCCGTCAACAAGACGACTCGGGAGGAAGAACCAGTCCCTGGCAAGGGGTCGAGACCTCTGGGCGTCGACGTTGCACCGACAAAATCTCGGCGTCGGGGGTCTGGTGTGCGGAGGTGCGAGGCGCGCCCTCCGTGGCGCGCTCCTGGCCGGGCCAGCCGGATGTGCGGGGATGCGGGGGCAGAAACCGGACGAGAAGCATCGACGCAGAGAGGAGGAGGAGGAGGCGATCACCGCGCCGCGGCAGGACAGCTTGCCGATCCCACAGTCGCAGCTCCAGCGTGGGCATCGCGTCATCAGGGTCTCGATGCGTGAAGCAAGACATCGAGCAAGACACAGTGGCGTAGAGATTGCGTGGGGCTCCACGCGGAATACTTGTACCCTCCCCCCTGCTGGCGCTTCTGGCGCCGCTGGCTCGCCGATCCAGGGAGTCTCGGGGGCGGAAAAGAGGGGGGGGGATGACTAGTTGGGGTGGATATCAGGGCGGGGGGCATGATATTTCCCCAGATGTCATGGCGCCTCTTCTCAATTCATTACGTCCCTGGCCCCCTCGCTGGGCCGCGCACGTGCCGCCAGTCATGATTTGCACCCCCCCTCTTGGACACCCCCCTCTTTGGCCGCTCCCGAGAGTCCGCGTGGAGTTCCGAGAGTGCATGTTGCCATGCCATGCTCTCCTCCTTTGCGGAGGGGCTGCGGTCGGGAACTTTTTGGTTTGGCGCGCCGCGCCGCTGAGCTGGCCCACCGCGCTGCGGCGCGACACGCTGGCCACTTGCCCGGCCCCCCGAGGGTCAACGTCTGGAGCCTCCTCCTCCTCCTCCTCCTCCTCCTCCTCCTCCCCCTCCTCCTCCTCCTCCTCCTCCTCCTCCTCCCCCTCCTCACCCCCTCCCTCACCCTTCCCCTCCTCCCCTCCCCCCCCTCCCCCCTCCCCTCCTCTCCTCCTCTCATCCTCCTTCCTCCTCATCTCCTCCTCCTCTCCTCCTTCCTCCTCTCTCTCCTCCTCCTCCTCCTCCTCCTCCTCCTCCTCCTCCCGCCCCGCGGAGCGGAGAGGCACGCCGTCCGCTCGCGGGGCGTACCGTGCAGCCCGCCCGGGCCCGCCGCCACGAAGAGGCCAAGCAGCAGCTGCGGGCCGTGGGAGGAGCAGCGGCAGCTGGGGGAGCAGCGGGCTGTCTCTGGCGCCCTTGTTAATGTTGACGTCCTTAGGAGAACAAAGAGTGACATAAACATAAAAACTCGGAGGTCCGCGCGGATTTCTCGGATCGGCGCTGGGGGCCCCCGGCGGCGCCTCCTGCGCCGCCCCTGGCGCGCTCCTCGCGCCAGGGAAGGGGATCCAGCGCGGATCCGAGAAATCCGTGCGGACCTCCGAGTTTTTATGTTTATGTCACTTTTTGTTCCCCTAGTCCTGCTACGCTCGACTTGCTCAATCTGTTGCGCTCTGCGCCTACCTGAGTCGGCCAACCTCTGCGAGTCTCTCTATCACACAGGCGCTGCAGCGTGCGAGGATTTGGCAGCCGCTCGCCTCCAGAAGCTGGCGGAGCAGTGGTGGAGCAGATGCGGACCCAGACCCCCGACGTCGTGACTTTTTGTAACAACGTCGACTCCCAGAGGTCTCGACCCCTTCCCCGGGACCGGTTTCTCGCCCCCAGTCGTGGTTAGATGGCCCCGAGGCCCGGCAAGGGCCTCCGAAGGCCGAGAATAGAGAAATGCCTCTCGTCGCGATTGCTTCACAGCGCCAGGGGGCCCGGGGAGGGAGTAGAAGAGGAGGAGGAGGAGGAGGAGGAGGAGGAGGAGGAGGAGGAGCAGGAGCAGGAGCAGGAGCAGGAGGAGGAGGAGGAGGAGGTGAGAGGAGGAGAGGAGGAGGAGGAGGAGGAGGAGGAGGAGGAAGAGCAGCAGGAGGAGCAGCAGCAGGAGGAGGAGGAAGAGCAGCAGGAGGAGCAGCAGCAGGAGGAGGAGGAGGAGGAGGGTGGCGACGACCACACGAGGAGGCGACGAGGAGGGAGGCCCTGGGAACGACGGAGGAGGCCCAGGCCCTCTCGCGCTGTACAAACACGCAAAAAATACACTCGGCCGGAGGCTCTTCGCGTCGTTGCGGCCTCCGGGAGGGGGGGGCCCCTGGGACGGGCCTCGGGGTTGCGGCGAGAAACGACTGGGGGCGAGAAGCCGGTCCTGGTAGGGGGCCACGCGCGAACCCTACCCCTGCTCCCCAACGATTTCTCGGGCCGGACGAAAGGGGGGGATTGGGAAGGGGGGGGGTTACGAAATTTGCTGCACGCAGCTGGTTTCGGCCACACCGAAGGGCCCATTCCTCGATGCACAGCCGCCTCCGGCGCTGGGAGGCGACGGGAAAATCAGCTACGTGAGCTGATTCTCAACCCCCCCTTTGCTATCCCCCCCATTTCGCCCGGCCCGAATTTCTGAAGGGGGAGGGTGGGGTTTACTTCGTCTGGGAGCTCCCGAACGAAGTGAACCCCGCCCTCCCCCTCAGAGATCGTGGGGAGCAGGGATAGGGTTCTAATGCGGCCCCCTACCCGGGGAGTGAGTCGAGACCTCTTGGGGTTCGACGTGGCGAAGAATCACGATGTCGGGGGCCTGGGAAGGGGGGACAGGAAGAGCAGGAGTTGGAGCAGAGGGAGTGGGAGGGGGCGGGGGGAGATCGGGGGGAGGGGGGGGAGCTTGGGTTATATCGGGCGTGTCCCCCTACAGGGGGATTGTCGACGAAAGATATACCATACCCCCAGAATGCAAAAAAACAAAAAATTGTCCCCAGGCTACTTTTTTGATTATTTTTTGATTAAGTATGGGGTATTTGCTTCGTCGAAAATCCCCCTGTAGGGGGACAGGCCCGACTTACAGCTCGGGGGCGGAGGCGGAGGGGGACGAGGCAGAGGCTCGGCATCGCTCGGACGTGCGCACTGCTGCCTCGGCGGAGACCACCGAGGAGCACCCTGGAGCCCCTCGAGGGCAGACGACAGAAAAACACGCGCGACACCACCCAAGAGGCACGGGGCATGGACGTCGGAGCGACGGCGAGGAGCGCGCGGGAGGGGGCGCGGCGGAGGGGTGGCCGGCCCATTTCGATGGGGCCCTCTGAGGGCCCGCTCTGGAGCCAGCATTAAGTCGGGCCTGTCCCCCAAACAGGGGGATCTTCGACGAAAAATAAGAAATACCCCCAAACATAATTCCAAAATGTCCAAACATAGTCCGGGGATTTTTTTACAGTATTTTGTTTACCTTTTGGGGGTACTTGTTGGGTATTTTTTATTTTTCGTCGAACACCCCCCTGTAGGGGGACACGCCCGACATAAAGCCAGCAGGGGCCCGAGGAGGAGCCCCACAGGGCCCATTCCACAGGAGCTCCTCGAAGGCCTCCGTTTCAAGCCAGCATGCGCTCCAAATGGGGGCCCTCACTGGGCCTATTGTGAAGTCGGGCCTGTCCCCCGACAGAGGGATTTTCGACGAAAAATCAAACGCACCCCCAAAATACACCAAAAAGGCAAAAAAAAAAAAAAAAAAAAAAATAGTCCCCGGACTATTTTTGGATCATTTTTAGATTATTTTTGGTGTATTTTTAAAATTTTTCGTCGAAGATCCCCCTGTAAGGGGAGAAGCCCGACTTAAGCCTACTGTGAAGTCGGGCCTGTCCCTCCACAGGGGGAAAGTTCAAAAATAGTCAAAACATAGCCTGGGGACCACTTTTCGAGTAGCTTGGGGCATTTTTTTTTGAGCAGTTCGGGCGTCTTTTGTACTTCTCGTCGAGGCTCCCCCTGGAGGGGGACACGCCCGACTCAAGCCTACTGAGGCGAGGGGCTTCGAAGGTGGCCCCCCTGGGCGGCGCGGCGCGGCGGCGGGGCGGGGGCGGGCCGAGGGCCCGCGCGGCGTGCCGCGGCCCGGGCGGCGTGCGGCCCGGGGCCCCGCCCCCACCCGCGCCCCGCAGGACTCCCGGGGCGTCTCCTGCGCGGGCCCCGCCGGGGACGAGCCGGCGAGCGCCCGCATGAAGTCGGAGCTCCTCGTTTTTCCCTCCTCGGTCACGGCCTCCTCCTCCTCCTGCCTGCTTCTGCTGCTCCTCCTGCTGCTCTTCCCCTCCACTCCCTCCTCCTCCTCCCCTACACCACTCCTCCCTCTCCTCCTCCCCCTCTCCTCCTCCTCCTCCTCTCCTCCTCCTCCTGCTCCTCCTCCTCCTCCTGCTGCTGCTCCTCCTCCTCCTCCAGGCCTCCCGCCTCCCTTCTCACTGAGCAATGGACCTCCTGGCAGCGGCGAAGTGCCCTGGCCCACCGAAGAAGTGTAATGACGTTCTGAGAAATCGGGGTCGGACATAACCCCCACCTTGACACGTCGATTCGTGAATTGTCCGTTTTCGGTTCTCGAGAGGGCGCCGCGGCCGTCACTTTCCAGGCTTGCGCCCGCCAGGTTTGGGCCCGAGGTCGTTTTCACTAAACCACGTTATACTAAAGGGAGTTCTGTCCATCCCCGAAGAACATCTTGTTGTGTGGTTAGCGCGACATGCTCTTAGAACCCTGCCGGCTGGGACTGTCCTGTTTCAGTACGTCGGTTTTCTGTTCCAAGTGCACGTCTATGTGTTACTAGAACATGTCTTGTTTTGGGGACATGCTGTGGTAGGCCTACAGGAATGCCAGGACGGCCGGTTCCTCCCTTCTCAATTGTGGAGCCTCCCCAGACCTCCCTCCTCGTTTTCGCCATTTTCGCAATTTTCGCCTTCTGGCTGCCTTTGCTGGGCTTCGGAGCCGTCAACGAGCGACTCGCGATGAAAAGCCAGTCCTCAGCAATGGGTCGAGACCGTGTTTTTTCCCCTTCTCCCCAAGAAGACGGAGGGATTACTAGAAGGTCCCGGAGGCTTCTGGGAAGGAGGTGGCAGGGATTCTAAGAGGCCATCTTGCCTTGTCAGGAGCTCCACGGCATCTTGGACGGCGCCCTCCTGCACCCACCCCCTTGTGCGCGCCGCCAAGTTCGCCTCCCCCGTCCTCGTCCCCCCCCGCCTTGCTTTTCGTCGTCATCCTGATATTCCCTTCCTTTTTCCCTTTCAGGATCGATCACGCGTATGCACCCATGTCTCAGCATCTCGAGGGTCTCCCGACCTCCAGCGAACTTTCAGTCGGCAACTTTTTGCTTGGCGTGTCGCGCCGCTGGCTCTGGCCCACCACTCTTCGGAGCAGCGCGCTCACCACGCCCAGTATTCAAGCGTTGACATCCCGAGCTTCTCCGGGCTTCCCGCCCCGCGGAGTGGAGCGGCACGCTATCCGCTCGCGGAGCACCGGGGGCGTCCAAGAGGTGGGTGACGACCAGGGGGGGTATATTGGGGCCAGGGCCAAGGTATCCCCCAGCTTTCACGGCCCCTCTTCCTATTTCGATGCGTTCCAGGCCCTCCCGCCTTTCCCCCCTGGTTCTCGCACGCACCTCGGGCCATGGCGAACCCCTCTTTTCTAGGCCTCCTAGATGGGGTCGGAGTAGATGGGGTCGGAGGATCGTGCCGCATCGCCGATGCATCGGCGATGCGGCTCGATGCGGGGCCCAATTTTCTCCACGCCGACGTCGCCGATACATCGCCGGCGTCGCCAGTGCATCGCCGATGCATCGGCGATGCGGCGAGATCCTCCTCCTCCTCCTCCTCCTCCTCCTCCGCGAGGAGGAGGAGGAGGAGGACGAGGAGGAGGAGGAGGAAGCAAGAGGGAGAGCAAGAGGAGGAGGAGAGAGAGGAGAGGAGGAGGAGGAGAGGAGGAGGAGGAGGAGAGTCGAGGAGGAGCAGGAAGGAGGAGGAGGAGGAGGAGGAGGAGAGGAAGGAGGAAGGGAGGACAGGAGGACAAGGAGGAGGAGGAGGATTATGAGGGGAGGAGGAGGAGGAGGAGGAGGACCTCGTTCGGGAGGCCTCTGCCCTCGGACGCCCCTTCGTCAGGCCGCCCCCGGGCGGGAGGTCCGCGTGCCGCCCGGGGCCGCCGCCGAGCGCCACGAGGAGTGCCCTGCAGCGTGCGCTCGCCCGCGCGGGCTGGCAGCGCGCCGGCCGCGCACCGCGCGCCTGCCCCCTTTGTTGGCATCCCCTTCCAGGGCCCCGCCTCGCCGACCTCGGGACGCGCCGCCCGCGCTTCCCTCCGGCCCCCTCCCCCCCCCTTTCGCGCTCGCCCCCCACCCCCCCCTCCTCCTCCGCCCGTCCCCACTCCTTCCGCCTTCTCCTCCTCCTGTCTCCTACTCCTCCCCTCATCATCGCCTCCTTCTCCTACTCCCATCTCCTCCTCATCCTCCCCTCCCTCCTATTTCTACCATTAATTACCCTTCCTCCCTCCTCCCTCCTCCTCCTCCTCCCCTTCCTCCTCCTTCCTTCCCCCCTCTCTCCTCCTGCTCCTGCTCCTCCTCCTCCTCCTGCTCCTCCTCCTCCTCCTCGCCACCTCCTTCTCCTCCTCTGCTTCCCCTCCTCTTCCCCCCTCTGTTGCCATTTTGGTCAAGTCGCTTGAGCTGTGCAGCTCGCTGCCGCGCTGCGCGCCCGCGAGCTTTCCTCCTTGTTGTGGAGGGGCGGTCATCTCCGCAAGCGCGGAGCCCGATGGAGCAATTGTGTCTGCTTCCGCTGCTGCTTCGCGTCCGCGGTAGTGCTCTTCATGATGATCGTTGTCGGCTTTTCGTCATGCGCTGCTGATGCGGCGTTGTCCTCTTCGACTTCGTCTTTACACTGGTGGCGGCTACTCTTCGTCAGCGTGGGGCCCGCTCTGTTAGTGAGTCTCGTCGTCGACGGCAGCGTGCTTATGGCATTGGTTTCATCCCATATCTACCCATCAGCGACAGCGGGACCTGCTGCCGAAGCCCTTCACGGACCAGCCGACGAAATTCACTTCGGACAGCGGCCTGGACGCGGATGCGAACCACAAGACGCTGGTGAGGTCCGAGCGGACTGCATCATGCCGCGCATCACGGAACAGATGTCGTTCTTATTCAGGTTGTTGCTCTGCGACTGGGCTGTACGGTTCGAGGAGTGTTACAAGATCATCTCCGCACTGCAGTGGCGATTGGATGACCTGTGTTCGCGGTGCAGCAACGGCCACCTCATGCTGGTGTTGACCGTGCACTGCTTGGCGGTCGCACGCATGCCTGGCCGGTGCACAACCAGAGGCGCATAAACGAGGAGCTCATCGGGAAGGTCTCGGGGATAGCGTGGCGCATCAAAACCATGGAGTAGAATCAGCGCAGCACCGTCGTCCAGCCCCCGAGTGAGGCACACAACGGCAACAAGGAGACGCTGCAGGCGCTCGCGGCTGAGATCGCGGACTTCCGGCGGCGTTTCGACCTGATCCATGAGTCTGGGTACGTCAAGGTGGTGGATTGGGACACTTGAGAAGACACTGAGGCGGGTTAGTTGGCAGAGTTCCAGGCGGAACTCAAATCCAGGTTCTACGTGCTCCAAGGAGCAACACCGGCGCGAGCCTCCTACTACAGAGCGGGGATGCCCCGAACACTGTGAAACCCGAATGAGAGGATGGCGCAGGAGCTCGCGCAAGACGCACACGCTGGCTCCAATTTGGAACACGACACAACTCCTTGACAGATGATGTTTACATCCCGCTTAAGCGCGTGAACGAACCTGATGAGGCCGAGCAAGAAGAACAAGCTGATGGAGGAGCTCGAGAACGTGAGGCGCAGCGGCTCCAACGCCGACTATTTCGACCCCCCTGCGTGCGAGCATCCACGCCGAGGAGTACCTCGATATTTGGTCGCGGGGCTCCCGGACACCTGCGTCGATACCTGCATCCTGATGCTGATCGCCCCCCCCCCCCCACACAACTTCGAATAGTGCGGGGACCTCGTCGCCGTCTGCGGCGACTTCATATCCTGCAACGTCTTCTGCGTTGCCCACTCCCCATCTTCACCGCCGACCTCGAGGATGCGTCATGCTTCTTCTTATTTGGCGGCTACGCCGTCGAGGTCGACGACGCTCTCCTCTGAGAGCCGCGCGGCGACGCGTGATTGCCCGTAGTCTCACTTGTCCCCCTGTGGTGGCGTGCGCTCCTCCTTTTCTTCCTCCCCCTCGGTTTCCCGCCTCTTCCTTTTCCCTTTCCGATCCCCCCCTCCTCCTCTGCTCCCGTCCTCCTCATCGTTCTCCTCCTCCGTCCTCTTCTTTGTAGATAACTCCTCCCTTTCGCACCCCCAGACGTGTCGGTGGGGCCGGGTGGGCGTTCCGCCTGGAACTTCTTCCACCATCGAATGCTGACCCTGAAGCTCGAAGTTTTTGCGACTGCTTCACGGATCAAAGGCGGGTTTTTTTCAACATGTTGTCTACGCCGTTCCGCGCACACACGTCTTGAAAGTTTGTGCATCAGCTTCGCGGGTGGAGGGCAGGTCTTGTTCAAAATGCGGTCCCGCCCGAGTGCCCTGCACAGTCGTCTTACAAGTTTGCAATCACTTCACGGATGTTACCTGAATCATTTTCAAAATGTGTTTCGTGCCTTGTGCACGTTCGTTCTGGAAGGCTGCAACAGTTTCAAGTGCTCGTACGGCTGCAGTGCCAGGGGTGGTTCCGGGCAGAATTTAGGGGTGTCAGGACGCAGTTGTCACGTTGGTTCGCGGCGTTGAAATCCCAATACTGGTGGTTAGGCACAGTTACCGGCTTATTGGACGCAGAGGTCACGTGGGTTCGCGGCGCTGAAGTCGCAGGAATTGCGTTCTAACAGGACCGGCGGGTCTCAGATGTTTATTTTCTGACCGGGCACCTGCCGCAATGAAGTTACATTTTTGTAGGGTCGGGTCCGTGAAGAGGGAGCGTGGAGGAAGGGTTTGTTGCAGCATCGTTGATGCGTCTTGGGTTTGCACTGGTTAAACTCTCCTTTGTCTCCTCCTCCTCCTCCTCCTCCTCCTCCTCCTCCTCCTCCTCCTTCCTCCTCCTCCTCCTCTCTCCTCCTCCTCCTCCTCCTCCTCCTCCTCCCCTCCTCCTCCCTATGTTTGTGTCCTCATCTGCCCCCTCCTTTTCCGCCTCCTCCTCTCCTTTTCCCTTTCCTCCTCCTCCTCGCCTCCCCCTCCCCCTCCCCCCTTCCCCTCCCCTCCCCTCCTCCTCCTCCTCCTCCTCCTCCTCTCTCCTCCTCCTCCTCCTCCCTCCTCCTCCTCCTCCTCCTCCTCCTCCTCCTCCTCCTCCTCCTCCTCCTCCTCCTCCTCCTCCTCCTCCTCCTCCCCCCCACTTCCCTCCTGGCTCTTCCATCGATCGCCTCCTCCGTCCTCCTGCGTCTTCCTCCCTGCTCGTCCTCGTCATCGTTCTCGGGGGCATCCTTCGAGGGGGGGCCCTTTGGTGATTGGTCCTCCTTGTGATTAGCATCGGCCCAGGCTAGCGCGGGGGGGGGCCCAGAGCCGGGTCGCGCGCCGCGAGCTGGCGCAGCGCGTGGAGCGCGCCAGAGACAGTGGCGCCACGCGCACCCCTCAGGAGGGGAAAACACACACACACAACACACACACAACACACACACACACACGCACACACACACAGACGCACACACACACACACACACATACACACACAGACAGACACAATTAATACTCGACCCCCAGGAACTATGGGGGAAACATGGGAAGTGGGGGGGAAGGCGAACATCCAGAACATGTGCGACCATATGAGGGAATCCTGGGTCTTGTGTATCTTGATTTATGTGTCCTTGGGCCCCCTCCACCCTCCCCGCACCCAAAGGGACGTCTTGCCTCCAAAAAGTGTCTTCTGCTTCGGCGAACCTGCGAAAGTTCGGCTAGAGCTCGTAGAGCTACACAGAGCACTCTACGCACGCGTCGCAGATTTGACGCCACATTTCTGTCGGGGGGTGAACCAGTGCAGCTGTCGATCTCCTGCTCGGATCCCCTGCTCCCTCCCCTCCCGCCGCCCGCCACCAGAAGGCCGCGGCCTCTGGCCAGTCGGGCCCCGAGGAGCTGCTGTGCCTCCTGAAGTTCGGCACGCACGGCCTGGGCGCCCTCCGCCAGGCCGGCCCCTGACGGCCGCCAGCCGCCCTCTTCCGCCTCGGCGCCGGCGAGGGACGTCGGCGCAGGGACGGCCCCGACGTCCCTCGAGCGAAGTGTCTAGATTCCAGGGGCCCCGGGATCGAGGCTCGAGACCGAGGGATCGTCGAATCTAAGATCAAGGTCCGAGGGTGCAGGCTCGGCGATGGACGAATCGAGGGGTCGGAGGTGGTGGCGCCGCCCCTCCTCCTGAGCGAAGCGCCGCTCGCAGCAGCAGCAGCAGCAGCAGCAGCAGCAGCAGCACCGCCAGCGCTGACACCAGCACCGACGCTGACCGCAGGGAAGCAGGGCGACCCCCCGTAGACTGGCTGACGGCGGTGTAGGTAACGGCGATGTAGGTTTCGGAATTGTGGGAACGCGCTGTCCTACACTTCGCGGTGTCGTGCTCGCTCGATCCATTCGCAAATAGGAGATGTAGGCAAGTGTGGTTCGTGATTTCCTACATTTCTTGGCTCCCAACATCGCGTTAAGCAACATCGTCGTGCGCCTGGCCTTGGACACCACCACCCAGGTATGTGGCGCCCCTACAAGTCAAAAATCAGGCGGCTGGCTCGTCGCCCTGCGGGCCCTTCTCTTGCCCCTGGGGGGGTCGCCCAGAGCAGCGGCGCGCGATGCGGGGCCGGCCCTTGTGGAGGCCGAGAGGTCGCGGGGGCCCGCGCACCGAGCAGCTTGGGGGGATGGTCCAACGCAGCGATGCGTGATGCAGGGCCTGTCCTGGTGGAGGGGCCGAGAGGCCGCAGGGGCCCGCTCACCGGACAGCTCGGGGCGCCCGAGGTCGGGGCCCCTGCTTTAGAAGGAGAGCGGCACGCCAGACGCCTAGACTTGTGGCGCCCCTCGCGGATTTCTCGGATCCGCGCTGGGCGCGCCCCTGGAGGGGGGCCCGAGTCGGATCCGAGAAGTCCGCCCGGAGCTGCGGAGGTGTATGCCTGCGCCGCGCTCGTGCTCTGCTCCTCCGGTCCGGGCCCCTCCCGGCCGTCGCCCCCGCGGCCGCGCCCCGGGGCCCTGCGCCGCCTGCCCCCTAGGTCGCGGTGGGGATCGCGGCGGGGACGGGGAAGCGGGGAAAGGGGGCGGGGGCGCTCCGGGGAAGCGTCAGGGGGGGCAGCAGCAGAAAGGCTTCGATGCTGCACCACACCCTCCCCCCCCCCCAAAGCTCGGGGCTGGCAACGCTCGTCCTTCCCCCTTCTCGCCCCTCCTCTCCCGCCCTCTCCTCCCCGCGCGCCCTCCCCCTGGTATGCCTGCCCTCCTCCTCCTCGCGCTCTTTCCTCGTCCTCGTCATGCTTCCCTCCTCGCCCTCCCTCTCGCTCTTCTTCTCTTCGTCCTTCCCCTCCTCGCCCTCCTCGCTCTCCCTCCTCGCCCTGCTCCTCGCGCCTCCCCTCTCCAGGAATCCAAGGGAGCCCCAGGCTCTCCCTTAGGATTCCTAGGATCCTCCCTTCCTCGTACTCCCTTGGGATTCCTCCTCCTCCTTTCAGACTTATTGTCTGACTATTGCTCGTCTGTGGGCTGCTGTTAGGCGGTTATCTCTCATGGCGGACGTTGGCCTCTGGTGTATCCTGCACGACAGGTACATGTTGAGCTTGTTTGCACAAGAATTGCAAGTCAATTCGCTACATCTCCTCTTGAGTCGGCGCGTCGCCTTCTTCGTCGACGCCGTCGTTCTTCGGGGTCGTCGTCGTCTTCATATGGGGGTCGCGCACACAATCGTGTGCAGTAGTATCTCGCCGCAGTTGCGTTTAGTTGAGTCGGTGTGTACCACGCGGGCACTTGTTTGCTCACTATTGTTCGCCTCAGGGTTGTTGTTGGGTGTTGTTTTTGATCCGGTGGATTTTGCTCTCTGGCCCATCCTGCAAGACAGAAGAGTTTTATGTTTGCTTGTGAAAAGATTGGCCGATGATTCGGTACCTCTCCAACCGATTCGGCGCCGTGTCGTCGTCGTCGTCGTCGTCGTGATCGTTTTCGTCGTAGTCTGGATATGTGAAGGGGCCCTAGGAATCCATAGGAATCCCAAGGGAGCCATTCGAAATCCGAGAATCTATAGGGACTCTTAAGGGTCCTAGGAACCCTTAGGATCCCCAGGGATTCCTAGAACTCCGACCCTGACGAATCCCACGAATCCTTAGAAATCCGTAGGACTCCTGAGGGAATCCTGAGACTCCTCAGGAATCTGTGAGAACCCCTTGGGAGTCCCAGGAGTCCCTCGAAATCCGTAGGGACTCCCGAGGGAGTCCTGGGACTCCTCAGGACTCTGTGAGAACCCTTCGGGAGCCCCAGGAGTCCCTTGAAAGCCGTAGGAGTCCTGAGGGACTCCTGGGACTCCTGGGACTTTCCAAGGAATCTCCCAGCAGGGGCCGCCGCTGGAGGGGAATTTTTGTTTCCCGGTTATGCTTCCGTTCCTTATCCATGAAGATCAGGAGGGGAAAAACACACAGACACAATTAATCGTCGATTCCCGAGAAAATATGGGAAAATATGGGAAGTGGGGGGGAAGACAGAAACCCAGAAGATATGGGAAACTTACCTTTTATTTGTGTGTATTTATTTGTGTGTCCTGGTGGCCCTTCAGAAGAAGCGCGTTCCAAATGGGGTTCATTAAAGACCTTTAGAGGTTAGGCTCAGAGGCAGATGCATATTGAAGCCAGCTGGGAGGCTGAGGTGACCAGGCACTGGTACCGGCCAGCAGGCATGCGGGAGTCAGGGCCTCCTTCGTCACGACGGTGGGGCGCGGTTCGAACAAGCGTACACATCTCGATGTCTGAAGAGGCCGGGTGTATCTAGCCTCGTTCCCGCCTCTTGCTTTGTTTTGTCGGGCCCCACCTTGGATGGGCTCCGAGAAAATATGGCAAGAGGACTGAACATGGATGATTCCAGCGCGGACTTTTTGGTCGCTTCAAATATGCATCGGCCCCCAATCGCCTACTGATTGCCGATTGGGGCCTGATAGGCCACACCGCCCAGGATCGTGCGGTTTCTCTATCGGGCGCTTGTCGTCAGTCTATCAGCGATGTCTCGCCTTTGCCAGGTCGATGCTTTCCCCCTGAGTCGGTCCCCCCCTGTCGTTGCCCCTGCGGACAGGACGAGGAGGGAATGGCTAAGTGATGGGGAACTCTATGGCAGCACGTATGCAACCCACCAAGCCACCCTCCTTGCGATCCAAGGCAAGTCGGGAACGGTACGAGCGGTGTGGCGAAGGGGAAGGGATGGAGGGAGAGAGCGAGAGATAGATATATATATATATATATATATAGAGAGAGAGAGAGAGAGAGAGAGAGAGAGAGAGAGAGAGACAGAGAGCGGGGGGGGGGCAGGAGAAATGGGGACCAAGTTAGGGGAAATGGTCGGAGAGGGCGGGTGGAGGGAAGGGGGGACGACAGATATAATCCTGCACCTTGGTTCCCTCCATCGATCAGTCAGCCCCCGTGCCTTGCACCCCGCGTTCGCCACCAATTCAAAGCTTTCGAGCAAACCGTTTGCAATTCTATCACGGCCTCAGGAACGCAATAAGTGGTATTCCATTATGTCAATCACGATCTTCCGTTGCGAATCATCGTGGTCAGCATCCATGCTTTGGAATTCGGAGCACGTGCGACTTACATTTGAATCATTTGTGATCGCAGCCGTGGCAGTTGGGTGTATAGGAGCCCCCGGCAGCTCCCGTTCCTAGCAGCACACGTTCGCCACCAACTTTCAGCTGTCGAACTCGCTGGTTACAGTTAGTTTGCGGCGTCAAGTACCCAAGGAGTGGTATGGCATTATTTCATATACGCTTTGAGCGATCGTCCGTTGGAGATCATCGCGGGCAGCGTCCATGCTCTCGAATTCGGAGCACGTGCGACGTACGTTTGAAGCATTTGAGGTCGCAGCCGTGGCAGTTCAGTATACAGGAGCCGAGCTCGCCGTTTCTCGGCGGCGCGCCCAGCAGGGGGGCTGGCCGAGGGGGCGTGCCCTCGCCGAAGACATTCGCGGCGTGTCAGACTTGGGGCTCACGCAACGGGGTTCAGCGCGAGCGGGGTTCAGCCAATCCCCTCTGGCTGACCCGGGTTTGGGAACCACGTGGGTCGGAGGTGGATAGACCTCCTACCCTGACACGCCGATTAGGGAATTGGCCGTTTTCGTTACGCGAGAGGGCGTCGCGGCCGTCATTTTTGCGGGTCCAGGTCCGTCGGTTTCGGTCCCAGGCCGTTTTCATTAAGGGGAGGTCTACTAAAGGGAGGTTTGTCCACCGCCGAGTGGGGCCGATTCCCCCGTTCCGCCCTCCGCTGACCCGGGGTTTGGGAGCTCTCAAGCGGCCGGCTGGGCTTCGCGGCAGGGCACTCGCCGATCGGGGCGTGTGCTCACCCGGAGTCGTGCGTGCCCGACCCTCCTTACCTTTCCCCCTCGGCGCGCCGCCGAGACATGACTGGTTTTTCAATCGCCAGACTTACGCACTCTGGGCAGCGCCATGCGATAGGGGGCCTCATGCGAACCCCAACCCCTACCCCCCACTATTTTTAAGGGGGAGGGTGGGGTTCACTTCGCTCGTGAGCTCCCGAACGAAGTGAACCCCAGCCTCCTCTTCAGAAATCGTGGGGGGTAGGGGTAGGGTTCGCATGTGGCCCCCTAATGCGAGTGCGCAATTAAAGTGTGAAGGGCACCGAGCTGCGCCAGTTCCTGACCCCGTCTCTTGCTCGAGCCTTCGTCCTGGCGTTCACGTTCAGTTCTGCACGTCTTTCCTTGGGCACGCGCGCGCGCGCCGCGCACTGCAATAGTTTGCTTTCCCTGCGTTGTGTGCGCAATTCTACCATTCGCTCTGGGCCAAATGACCACCTCGATGTCCGGGTCTCTCTTCACAACCCCCGTAACCACCGCGATGTAGCAGGTATGGGTTTGGCTTTTTGCCGCCCGATGGAGGTGTTGACCAGGGATATTCAGTAAGTCTGATCGCATGCAGATTGCTGGGGACTCTCGGGCGAAGCGCGTGCTTCGGCCCAGTAGATCAAGCTCTTTCTCAGGTCGTTGTAAGAGCCCCGTGATCCTCGCGATGTCGTCGGCATGGCATTTGAGCCACCCAGGGGTGTCAACGAGGTGTGTGCGCCAAGGGCCCGCGCGCGCTCAGACTGTGAGGACCCTTGGGGCGAGCCGCTCGTTGTGAGTGGACGCGTGGCATTCCTTCCTCCTCCTCCTCCTCCTCCTCCTTCTCCTCCTCCTCCTCCTTGGTCACCGCAACGCGGCAGGCATGGCACCTGGGCATCCCGAGGGCGGCCACCAGGGAGTACGACTCGGTCTCATGTTGGCCCGGAGTGTGGGAGCCCCGCAGACGAGACGCCCGTTTGAGTAAGTGGGGCGTGTCTCTTCTCAGAGCCCCCTGCTCACAGCGATGCAGCAGGCATGACATGTGGGCAGCCCAGTGTGTGTGTGTGTGTATGTGTGTAAGTGTGTGTGTGTGTGTGTGCGTGTGTGTGTGTGTGTGTACTCCCCATCGCCAGCGCAGTGACTCTGCCTAGCCGCCGACGCAAAAGTGTGTGTGTGTGAGTGTGTGTGTGTGTGCGCGCCACCAGCCCCGTTCACGCACAGATTGTTGGGACTTTCTTGGTCCGTCGATTGCGGGACTCGTGCATGCATGGCCCGACTGAACCGTACCCAAAACCATTTCAGAGTCAAGCTTCATAATACGCAGGCTGGTTCACATACAATTTCACATTGCCAGGCGCAACCGCACCCAGACCCGTTCACATCCAGGCGTTCATACGCAGACGCACTACGCGTACCCATGCCCACTCAGATCCATGCCCAGAGATCCACCCGCATTCAGAACACTCCTTCATACCCAGCTGCCTGTGACAAGCCCCACCACCTTGCCAGCCCAGCAGCCTGGGTGGCGACTGTTCGAGGGGGCACAAGGTGCCGTCGCGTGTGACACCCCGTGTTACCAGGCTGGGGAGAACCGTGATGTGGATGATGAGGATTGTATGGATGGGGTGTATGATGGCGATGATGATGATGATGATCGATGGTGATGGTGCTGATGATGATGGTGATGATGAGGATGATGAGGATGATGAGGATGATGAGGATGATGATGATGATAGTGATGGTAACGATGGTGATGATGATCGAATGGTGGTGACGATGACAATAATGAGCATGATGATGGTGAACAGCGATCTTGCTGATGGTGTGGTCGGTGATGATGATGCTGCTGATGATGGTGAGTACGATGGTGGGTACGATGACGATTATGATGACGTTCATGATGATGCTGATGCTGATGATAATGCTGATGATGATGATGCTGACGATGAAGATGATGATGATGATGATGATGATGCTGCTGCTGCTGATGATGATGATGATGATGATGATTATGATGATGATGCTGATGATGGAACTTGTTTGGGCCGACTTGGGGCTGCCTTGCCCTCCTGTGAGGCAGTCTTGGGGGCCCGTTGGGGCCCTCTTCTGCCGTTGTGGGCCTCAAGATGCCAGGCCCGAGGAGTTCTTGTTTGTTTGTTGGGGGGGTGAGGGGCAGCGGGTTCGCAGCGGCTGCGAGTCCAGCTTCCGCTACCGCGCTCGGCCGAGGAATGCGTGGCACGAGCTTGGAACCGTCGGGCGGGCGGCCACATCGAACGAAACGGGGGGAATCCCGAACTCCGCGGGAGAGCCAGTGTCTTGCAGGCGATGGAGGCATCGGGGGCGGCTCTGGCTGGACTGGCTGGGCTTGGGTGGACTGGCTCCCAGAGGCGAGGGTGATGCTGCGGGAGCTCGAGGAACCGCCAGCAGACATGTCTTCATTACCGCAGCGTCACGGGGCGAAGCTCCACTTCGCGACCACTGCGGCCAGCATGGCCGCCAAACTCGAGTCTATGATTGGGTATGCAGCATGCACGCACTCGAGACGGATCCGTCGATGGGCCGCGGACACGAGTTTATAAACACGGTGGTTGTGGGCATCGGGGATGCTGCCGCTTCGCGCTAGCTCACTTCTTGTGCGGAGGCGGGGAGCGCCACGTCTGCACCCGAACAGCGGCACAGCAGCCCGATGGTGCGGCCCGGGAGTTCAGCAAAGCGGTCGACCGTGCGGCCCACGTGGGGGCCCGTCCTTAGTGGGCCTTTGAAACGACAGGGCCGTTTTCTTACCGGATCCGTTTTGCCGTTTGTTTGCCGGTTCCGACGCCGTTTTTTTACCGGTTCCGTCGCCGTTCTTTTACGGGTTCCCGCTCCGGTTCCAATCCTGGAGCCGTTTTTGTTGCCGTTTCAGGTCACCTTTTTTTGCCGTTTCCATGTTCAAGGGACATTTTCGGAAACGGTGAAAAAAACGGCCCTCCTGGGCCCACTAAGGGCCCGTCGTTTGCATGGCACATGGAAGTCAGCGTTTCAGACGCGACGTCGAGGCTCTCGAGACGGCTCGAACAAACCTGCGACATGCAATCGCTCCACCTTTCAACCTGGAGACAGGCAGTGGGTGCCAGCACATCAAAGTGGCGAGCGCGTTCTATGTGGAATGGCTTTACGCTAAGCGAGGGTCGCTCCTTTTCTCTTTTTTCCTCCCCCATCTTGTATCTTTCCTTCCCTTTTCCTCGCCGCACTCCGCTTTCTCCTCATCCTTCACTCCCTCCAGCTCCGTTTCTTCCTCCCATCCTGTCTCCCTCCTTCCCCTTCCCCCCTGATCTTGCTGCTTGTGTTCGTCCTCATCTCTAGGCCTCCTAGATGGGGTCCGAGTAAATGGGGTCGGAGAATCGCGTCGCATCGCCGATGCATCGGCGATGCGGCTCGATGCGGGGCCCGATGTTCTTCGCGCCGGCGTCGCCGATGAAGCGACGACGTCGACGATGCATTGCCGGTGCATCGTCGATGCATCGCCGATGCATTGCCGATGCATCGCCGATGTATCGGCGATACGGTGCGATCCACCGACCCTATCTACTCCAGCCCCATCTAGGAGGCCTCTATCATCCCTGATCGTGCTGCCAGTGTTCGTCCTCATCCTCTTGCCCGCGTTTTCCAATTGTCTTCGTTCGCTTACACCCTCCATTCTACGCACGGGTACTTTTTTCAGTGCTGCACCTTTCTCGCGCAGCCTGCAACCGCCGTCGTCGGCGGCGGGGCATCGTCCAGATGCTGTACAAGTAGGGCAATTGGGCCTCTGCCTGACTCTTTTCCGCTCATCTGCGAAGTGGACCTTCCCCGCATGTTACACCCAATGGTCGAATCCCTTGCCCCTCCCCGTCTTCTCTTCCACTTGGCATCGCTCGGACGTCTGCATTTTTCTTTCGGCGAGGACCATCGAGGAGCATCCTTGATAATTTGGCGAAAAAACACGCACGAAACCAAAAACAAAACACGGGGAATGGACGTCCGAGCGATGGCCAGTCCATCGTGGGATGATCCAGGAGTGGGAGGCCCAGCGGCCCGGGCCAAAGCCGACGACTTTTCATAAGAGACACCACCCGCTGGGAACGATCCGCTTCGCATGTGGGGGTCAGAGGTCAGCGCCATGTGGCCCTCGCACGCCAGCGATCTGCTGAGAGCTGCCGGCAGAGGCTGGCAGAAAAGTGAGCATAAGCCAGGCGTCAAGGATCCCGTGCGGCTTCGTCCCTCACCCTCCTTCAGTTCCGTCGCTTCGGGCAGAGGAGGAGGTTGGGCGACATGGCGTGGGCGGCGTGGGCGCTGCAAGTCGGGCCACGTGCAGCCCTGTGGGGCGACCCTCGAGACCCGGAAAAAGCTCTTTGGCGGAGCGGAGGTGTTGGCGCCTCTCCCAGATCTGCAGCCTCCGAGATTTTGAGATCCTATTCCGATGATGTTTTCCGTTCAAGTCTTGGGCGTCCCGGGCCTTCCTGCCCGCACAGAGGACGCTCCTGGGCGAAGGAGGAGGAGGATGACCAGTGTAAGCCAACGACGCCTCAGCGATGTTGCAACAGCCCCTCCCTCCAATACCCCTCTTCGTAGGTCCCTTCAATATATGGTTTTCATTGAGGGAACTGCCCCACTGTAAGATGCTTGTGAGGATCTTCACTAGTGCCAAGACTCCATTCCTGGGATTTCAGCGCCGCCATTGTTGCGTCCTGATAATTCTACACTGTGCCGAAACATGTCCTGGCACGGCAGCCACACGAACATTTGAATCTGCTGCCAGCTTTTGAAACGAGTGTGTGCGGCGCTGAATCGAGAGCCACGCTTTGAACAGCAAGCGCCATACATCCTCGAAGCTGTCGCAACGTTTGAAGCTGAGGCGAGAACCGCATCTGGAAAGCGACGCGCCCTCCATGTTTGACACGGCTGCCAACGCTTAGCTTACTCTGGGTGGGGTAGTCATCGAGGGGTGGGCGGCTAACCTTCCGACGGAGCTTGCCCATCCCCGACCCCTCCCATCCTCCTCCTCCTCCTCCTCCTCCTCCACCTCCTCCCTCCTCCTCCTCCTCCTCCTCCTCCCCCTCCTCCTCCTCCTCCTCCTCCTCCCCTCTCCTCCTCCCCCTCCTCCTCCTCCTCCTCCCTCCTCCTCCTCCTCCTCCTCCTCCTCCTCCTCCTCCTCCTCCTCCTCCTCCTCCCCTTCTCCTCCACCCCCCCCTCCACCCATTCCGACAGCACGTGCCCGACCCCCCCAGGCGGATCGAAAGGGAGGGGGGCGGGGGGCGATAGTTGCCCCCCAGCCAGAGTAAACGGCGAACGGGCCCGGCGGTGCGAGGGCGAGCACCACATTAGGACAACGACCTGCCCTCGATCCTGGAAGCTGCTGCAAGTGTGCAAAGGCACAGGCGCGCGGGGCTGGGGCGACCACCTCGTTTTGACACTCCTGCCCTCAGTCCTGGGAGCTGCTGCAAGTGTGCAGGGGCGCGCACGCACGGGGCTGAGGCGACCACCCCGTTGTGGAACAAGGACCCTGCCTTCTATTCCTGACGCTCCTTGCAGTTCTTTGAAGGCGACGACGCGCGGCGCTTCGGCGAGAGCTTCGCGTTAAGAAGGACCCGCCCTCCGCTCTTGAAGCTCCTGCGCTCGTTTAAGCCAGACAGGCGCGGTGCTAAGGCGAGGGCCAGATTTTGAGAAGGACTCGCCGCCTATCCGTGAATCGGTTGTAAATTCTTGACGCTCCGCGTATCCCCGCCAGCGATTGGTGACTGCGGCTTTCGGCTGCGCCCCCCATCTTCCTTCATTCACAATGTCTCTGCAGCTTTCGGCTGCGCCCCCCCACCGATCAACTGTAAGATTGCATCGGACGCAGAAGCAAGGGGTCAGGCCGTGAGTGCGAAGCTCCAACAGCAGGTTCCGCCCAGCCCCCAGAGGCCGAGAACGGGGCTCCCGTAGGGAACCTTGTGGCGTCCGTGGACGAGGTATCTGGATCGGTTTCTGCGGCTTTCGGCTGCGCCCCCCATCTTCCTTCATTCATAATGTCTCTGCGGCTTTCGGCTGCGCCCCCCACCGATCAACTGTGAAGATTGCATCGGACGCAGACTCCTCCGTCTCCTCCTCCCCTCCTCCTCCTCCTCCTCCTCCTCCTCCTCCTCCTCCTCTTCCTTCATTCACAATGTCTCTGCGGCTTTCGGCTGCGCCCCCCCGGTCAACTGGGAAGATTGCAGCCCCGGCTACCAGCCCTCGTCAGTACTTTGCATCGTTTTGCCCCCGAACTGCGTGAGTCGGATACGATGTGCAGGAGTGGCTACCGGCTGGAGGTGGCTCAGCCTCGTGAGCGCACACCAGTGGTCCTCTACTGGATGGCGCTCTCAGGCGGATCAGCCACACCTTTGCAAGTGTGCGGCCCTGCATGAGTGGTTCAGCCTTCTGCATTGTGGTCGCCTCGTCAGAGCAGCCCTGGCCACCCGCCCTCGTCAGTAATTTGTATCGTTGTGCCCCCGAACTGCGTGAGTCGGAGACGATGTGCACGCAATGGCTACCGGCTGGAAATGTGGATCGGGTGCGGCCGTCAGCCATACATTCGGTGACACCCTACGTTTGGCTTCGTCAAGGGAGTGGCCCTGCATTGAGTAGTTCAGCCTTCTGCAGTTCTTGGTCGTTCCCCCTGCAGAGCAGTCTTGCAACCAGCCCCCGTCAGTACATTGCATCGTTTGGCCTCCGAACTGCGAGAGTCGGATACGATGTGCACGCACTGGCTTTGGCTGGAGGTGGCTCAGCCTCGCGAGCGCACACCAGTGGTTTTCCCCCACTGGATGGCGCTTCGACGCGGATCAGCTACACCTCAGCTTCAGTGAGCCTTGATGAGTCAGGTCTCTTTCGCCGCACCATCGTTACTCGTGGTGTTGCAGTGTGCCTGTGTTTGTCGCTCGCTTTGCTCTCTCCCCCTCCCCTTTCCGTTGTTCGCCCTCCCCCTCCTCTCTTGCCCCCGTTTGTGGTTCGGCTGGAGCTTGGCGCCGAAATGGCGACTACCCGCCGATTCGCCGCCGGTCGCCGCGCCGTGGTGTCCCCACCGCCGGGACGTCTACGCTGGCTTTGGCGTACAATTTGGGTTATTTCGACCCTCGTACGTGCATATGCCACTGCGGCCAATTTGCTTCGTTCGCGCCCCGTTCGTTGTTGACTCGCTTCTTGACCTTCGCCAGGAAGCCGCCGACCAAAAAAGGTATCCCCACCAGCCGTCCCTGGCGCCCGCTGGTATCCGTCCAGGCTTCTTTGAGCCTGGTGAGGCACCCTGGCGTCCCTGTGACTTGCTCGTCGACCAGCCTCAGCTAGCATGCTTGCGTGTTCCTGGTCCCTGGTCTTCAGACACTGCCGCAGCCTGGCCGTGTTTGCAGCTGCCGCTTGCAATGGTGGGATGCGCCTCTACGTGGATAGATCAGGAGTGGTTTAGCCTTCTTGTTCAGCCATTTGCGGTTGCCAATGTTGGCGTGCGACACAGGTACGCTGGACTGCTTGCGCAGCCCCGCGCTTTGCCGCGCTCGGTGGCACGGTTACCTCTGGCGCCTGGCGCGACAGGGTACAATTCGTTCGTCTTCCTGGTGGTCTCGCCTCTGGGATGGTTGCACTTCGGCCGCCCGGCACACCTGGCAGCTCTGGCAGCCCGCCGTCAGCCCCAGGCGCCGCCCAGCGCCCCCTTGTGCGTTTGCTGGTTAATTCGGTTTCGCCTGTAGCCCGGGACGACTTCTGACGCCGCCTGCGCCTTCGCTCGCGGCCGCGACCAAAGAAACAAATCCCCACCAGCCCATCCAGAAGAAGATCGCCAGGCGATTTGCTTTGATCAGGGAAGTGTAGATGCGTGCGCTGCAACAGTCGCCGTGGAGTCGTTTTCTTTGAGGTCTCTTGGAGCCATCTTGGGGCTCTCTTGGGGGCCTCGCGGGTCCCCTTGGGCACTCTTAAGGCCCTCTTGGGGCTCTGTGGAGGCCTTCTTGGGTCCCTCTTGGGGATTTTTGGGCGGTCTGGGAGGCCTCTTGGGGCCATCTTGGCTCCCATGGCTGAGAAGGGGGGGTGGGGGGGGGGAATTCATGCGCCCCCCCCCCCGGAGGCTCAAACAGTACGCTTTGGGGCCGAGTTGGGGCGCGCTTGGAGTGTTTTTGGGCGCTCTTGGGGCCGTCTTGAGGTCATCGTAAAACCTCAATACGCGAGAAGCACAACACATTGAACGAACATGCGAAACAAAACGCAACACACTGATCGCCCTTAGGTTTGGGAGCCATTTGGGTTTCTGGAGGAAATCTTTTGAAGATTCGGATGGCACTTAAAACCATATTGGGGCCGTTTTGGGGCCTCTTGGATGTGTGTCGGAGGCTATCTGAAGCCATCTTCAGGTACCTTGAGCCATCTTGGAGGGGCCATTTGGGGCTCTTTGAGGCCCTCTTGAAGCAATCTTGGGCCATCATTGGGGCTCTAGCGCCTCGCGCCCCCCCCCCCTCCCAGGCCCAGTGAAGGGGGTATGGGGGGAGGGTAAACACTTCCCCCGACCAGGGGAATGGAGGGATCTTGGCAGCGAAAAAACCAAACGCGTTAAACCACCTAGTTGGCCCAGAGGGCTGGTGGGACTCAAGCTGCAGGACCATCATTGGTGAGGAGTTCTCAGGCGAAGCGCCCGGTCCACCCTACCGGGAAATGGAGGAGGTATCTTTACAGCAACATGATGGAAAAGCAGGAGGGGGAGGAAGAGGAGGACCAGTGGAAACCCAAGGGTCATCAACGATGTGTGAATTAACCCGCCCTCCAAGCTCCGTCTTCATAGGCCCCCACAACGGCTCATTTCCGTTGAGGGAATTGCCCCGTTGGAAGACAACAGTTTGAAGATCCTGAAGCGTGCCAACACATTGTTCTCCGGATTTCATCGCCACGTATAATCATGACTGCTGCGTTTTGACGACTCATACCTGTGCCAGAACACTTTTTTGATTTCGACAGCGAATCAACAACTATTGCGCCCGCGTGATCCTGAATCTATCCCAAACGCGATTTCTGGTACGTTGAACATGGGAACCCGTGACACTCTTACAACTGTATATTACGAGTGCGCGCGGCGCCAAGGCGAGAACCACATTTTGAAAACGACCCGCCGTCAATCCGTGAAGTTTTTGCAAATGTTTAAAACGAACGTGCGCGGCGTTAAGGCGAGAACCACATTTTGAAAACGGCCCGCCCTCAACCCGTTAA